AAGGGTCTCGGGTTCTATTCCAGTCAAGGGCACATGCCCGGGTTGTGGGCTCCATTCCCAGTAGGGGTGTGCAGGAGGCAGCGGATCAATGATTCTCATCATTGATGTTTCTCTCTCTGTCTCTCCCTCTCCCTTCCTCTCTGAAACCAATAAAAATATATTAAATATATATTAAATATATATATTAAATATATATTTTTATTGGCAATATTATATATTACTAGAATATCTGTATATTCTAGTAATCTCTAAATAGTGGTATCTTGCATTTTTTTGTGTTCCAATGAAAGTTTATTATGGACACTGACCAGGAATCAAACTGTGACCTCCTGGTTCATAGGTCGATGCTCAACCACTGAGCCACACCAGCCAGGCTGATATAAATGATCTTTCTTTTTTTAAAAAAATATATTTTATTGGTTTTTTACAGAGAGGAAGGGAGAGAGATAGAGAGTTAGAAACATCGATGAGAGAGAAACATCGATCAGCTGCCTCCTGCACATCCCCCACTGGGGATGTGCCTGCAACCCAGGTACATGCCCTTGACCGGAATCGAACCTGGGACCCTTCAGTCCACAGGCCGATGCTCTACCCACTGAGCCAAACCGGTTTTGGCTAAATGATCTTTCAAAGTAAGTACATGCCAAAAGGGAATGTGTGAAAAGGATATTTGCCATATATTAGCTAGTTTAGAGGGGACCAGGGAAGGTTTTGGATTATTTCCCCCATTAACTTCCATTTTTTAATGTATTTAGAGTGACCATTATTTTTATTAAAGTTTAAAAGCTATGAAAAATGAAATGAATAAAGTAACTGACTAAAAATTTCCTGTGACCAAGAACTCATAATATGATTCCTTTATATCATACAGTATGTTGGATTAAAATTAAGGAATAGATCCCCAGAGGTGAATCTTTGCTCTTCAGAAGTAAATTTTTGTCTGCTGCAGATATATATATATATATATATATATATATATATATATATAAACATTTGCCACGACCAGAGTGGCTCCGATGGTTGGGCATTGTCCTTTGCACCAAAAGTTTTCCAGTTCAAAGCCTGGTTAATCTATTCCCATCCTCTTCCCTTTCCTTCCCCTTCCTTTTTATTGAAATTTATTTTTTGGTAGGTGACAGAATTAAAATCAACTTATGGAATCTTCAAGGTGTATATTGCCTCTGGCAGAATTTAATTATTCTCCATATGATTATCTAGTTGTTCCTATGCCAGTTACCAAAGTTTTTCCCCATTCCCCACTACTTTGCAGTACCACCTTAAAGGAAAATCAATAATCTATATATATAAAAGGCTAATATACAAAGTGTCATGTTGGGAGTTCCACCGGGAGACAGGGAGTTCGATCGCTCGCTATGATGTGCACTGACCACCAGGGAGCAGCGTGAAACAAAGGAAGCCCCTGCTCGGCAGCTGGGGAAGGGAGGTCCCAGCCAGCAGCCAGAAGGCCCTGATCGGCCCTGATCGCTGGCCAGGCCTAGGGACCCTACCTGTGCACAAATTTTGTGCACTGGGCCTCTAGTCTATACATAATTACAGGTCTGTCTTGGCCTCAATTTTCTTTGATTGCTCTATTTTTCAATACTCTTAACAATACCATAGTGCATTAGTTATCATAGCTTTGCAAGGAGTCTTGGTATTTGGTAGAGGAGGTCTTCTCATCCTGCTCTCTCTTAAGGTTTCTTGGCAGCTTAAGAAACACCCATAAAGTATTCTTTCTTAAAAATGAATCAAATTGAGCCCTAGCTGGTTTAGCTTGGTGGATAGAGCGTTGGCCTGCGGACTGGAGGGTCCCAGGTTCGATTCCGGTCAAGGGCATGTACCTTGGTTGCGGACACTCCCCAGCAGGGGGTGTGCAGGAGGCAGCTGATCGATGTTTCTCTCTCATTGATGTTTCTGACTCTATATCTCTCTCCCTTCCTCTCTGTAAAAAATCAATAAAATATATTTTTTTAAAAAGAATCAAATTGAGCCTCTAATCCCAACCATTGGTTTCAAAAAATATGGAGAAATATCTGCGACAACATGAATGAAAATGCAGGGCGTTATGTTAAGTGAAATAAGCCGGACAGAGAAAGGCCAATACTGCATGGTAGAAGTATATGTGAATCTCGGGGAAAATAATAAAAGCCAACCTCCCAGAAACAGTAGAATGGTGGTAGTTGCCTGAGGGATGCAGGTGGGTGTTATGCCCAGATTCCAAGATTCCCAAGAAATCACATTAGGGAGCCAATTCGATGCAAAAGCATAAGAATCTGTATTTATTTCAAGCTAGCTTGGGCGCAGACACACCGACACAAAAGCAATCCACGTGGCTGAGCGCGCCAACCGCGTCTCAGGACCGGTTATATAGGGGGGGGGTTGGAGTAAGGGGAGGAGAAAGAACTGTGCTCTGCCGCCTGGGTGTGGCTAGCAGAGTAGGATGTAGCCCCTACCCTGGGGCAACCTAGCCCTCGCCCTTTCATTCCCCCCTTTGTCTTGGAACTTCCGGCTCAATCATGAGACGGACTGATTCCACCGTTGCTAGAGGCCCGTACTGGGCATATTTTAACAAATGGTCTGGTGGAGGGGAAAGATTGAAATAGGATTTTTCTTCTTAAAATTTCTCCATGGCTATCAAAAAGCCAAATTAAGATTAATTTATCTACTGTCCTGATGTTTGCATAAACACAACAAGAATGGTAACTGACTACCTTTGCTGGAATCTCATGGTTGAATCTTAATGTGCCCCGTAGGCCAGGAAGCCACGCCACCCAGCTGCCATCAGGCCCGCCTGCAGTATCTGCTGAGTTAGGTGAATTCCTCACCTGTAGCAACTCCACCTGAGCCCACGCTCCAGGTTTTAAGGCCCATCTCAGTAGCCCTTCTACTTGTTGCGGCCCAGAGTGTGTGGGGGTTCCGCAGGAACGCAGAGGCACCCCTACTGCTCCCCTTCTACTCTTACCAACCGCCAGTGATGGTAGGGCATCGGCCCTGACACTCCAGGCGCCAGCCATCTTCAGGGCTTCCCAAGCAGGGTATCAGGCTTTCTTTCGGGCATTTTTACTGGGTTTTAAGTCTTTTAGAGCTCAGATAGGGCTCTTTAAAAACATGATACTCCAGGCCAAGTTTTCCCGTAATAAAACCCACTATTAAGAACCCGGTCTTTATTGAATTCTATGCAAGAAATGTATTGCCAT